AGAGCCCACAGTTATGAGGCCCTGTTACTATTCTTCATGATAGTCGTATCACCAGCTTATCTTTTAACCATGCTCAGAAACAAGTTGCCAGCTCTTTAGCGTGGCGGCAGTACCCTCCGTGCTAACACCTGCCCATTTATCCATGAGTAGGTGTGACTCTTCTATTTTCCTAGTTACTCCTTTGAATCCCAAAATTTGGTACCATTCAGGTACTGCCTGCGGCCATGCCATTCCACGCCTTGTCTGGAAGCCACTCCTACTGTTGTCTTTGGGATACTGTTACTCATCTTACAAGACCTCAATCAAGAATCTTAGGATGTCGTTGGCGCCTACCTGCCCAGGGCAGAGACCACTAACCCCTTCTGAGAGCTGCCACAATGCTGCTTTCTAACATGTCTACGCTAGCTCCTCACAGTGTGCTGTGGTTGTTGGGTGACAGCTCTGTTCCTCATAGTGAATGGGTGCCATCTGCAAGGGGTATGCACATTCCCTTCTTGTCCTTGGATCCTTAGCAATCAGCAGTATCTGCCTGCCTCTGGTAGAAACTCAGAGGCTTATTGAGTAGACTTACATTGACATCTAATATTCTCCAACTTTCTGTTTGATCCTACTCTAAGGCTTTTTCCTCCTTTTTCTTGGCAGTGTTAGAAATGCTTGTTTCCTGATGTTGCAAAGAAGTAGCATTTGAACATAAAAAGAATTTTCTTAGCAAGACCGTTTTTTTACTTTCTGCAGAAAGAGTACACTTGCCAGCAATTTTGCCACGAGAGGACACTGAACAAAGGAGACAGGGTCATTTATAACCTGACGCATCCACCCTGCTGCTGTGTCCATTTTCCATTGGCTGGAACGGGACCTCACATTCTGTGTTTGTCCCGATTGGCTAGTAACTTAGAACTTCTTAAAAGAGGCAAAGGCAGAGGAGAACAAAGGAGGGCGGAAGTAACTTGTGGAATGCTGAGAAAGGTAAAAACACCTCCAAATAAGGCAGAGGAACAGGCTACGACCTAATGCTTGCTTGGTCCAGTGTAAGTATGCCAGGGGAAATATTTACGCTAAATTGTGGGAGCTAAGAACGTAAAGTACACTGATTTCTTTATTACGGCTGGCAGATATTTAAGAATGTTAGCACAGATCTTTGAATAAAGTTTGCTTCTAAGAGAAGTTACTATTTATTCCTAGTTAGATGGGGAGGAAAGTCTCTTTGAAGAGGAACCTCTACTTTAGTTTTTGCAGCAGCGTGCACCCCATCCTTCCTCTGACCCCGTGGAGGAACCTGGCCCAACCTGGACAGTCTTAGCTGCCTATTCCCCCAGGATAGATTTGGGATAGGCATGGAAACCGGTCCAGGCCTGAGACTCTCTCTAGATTTTTAAAGTTTAAAACTGGAGTGAAAGCCTTGCCACCAGAGACGAAGGCTGGAGAGAGAGATGGGTGCTGTCTAACCTTGTGGAGAAGACTGCTGTGGGAACAGAGGAGTCCAAACCAAGACCAGACAAGCTGAGATCAGCAGGAAGGAAGAGGAAGGCACTGGCTTCGTTCTAGTCCTTGGGACTCAGGTCCCTGCCTTCCCCACCTCCACCCCCAACACCCAGCCTCCCAGAAACAGCCCCTGACAACTTCTGCTCTCGGTTGGTTCCTGCTGCAATTCTGTCCTTAAGATGAAAAAAAAAATCCTAAATGATAGCATAAAACTCAGCCAACAACTTTCAGTGTTAACAATCTTCAAGGCATTGTTCTTTATTACTATTTTCTTTATACTTCCTCCAGATCATGTATTTAGTAAATCTCTCCTCCCCTGAGCCCCACTGCTCATAAAAGCTGAACCTACGATGTGGATCCAGCAGCAGTCTTTTCAATGCAGGGTAATTTTCTATTCACCAAGTTGACCCCCTTGTCACAATCTGAAGCCTGAAAGTAAAATGTAAAGAGTATTTGAAACTGACTTGTAGGAAGCTGAGGGAGATATTAATATACATCAGACTTCTTAATATCTTCAAAATGTTTTAAGGGGCATTTTCTGTGTAATAAGCCCGAGGGATTATGTTTTTATTGTAAAGAAGAATTAGATGAATGAAAGCATTTACATGAATGCCTTGAACTTTAAACAACATGTGTTCAGTAAGCTGAAGTCGTATCATAGTTGTATTTCTTAAAGAAAGTGATTCACACAGTATTTTGTAAGTGTTAATAGGAGGAATGGAAACACAAGAAAATCACTAGTAATAGGTACACTGAAGATGCACTTTATGGGATATCATTAAAATGCAATTATTCTGTCTCCCTGAGCCCTTAAATTTTCTCCAATGAGTTAATCCTTCCTGTAAATGGATGAAAATTTCAGCTAGCCCAGGACTTTCCACCCCCTCTCTTAGGGTCAATAGTAGTCCTGTGTTCCCCCAAAAGTTGCAAACAGTCTAAATTAGAATAATCGATTCAAAATATCACAGAAAACTTCAAATACAATTCTACGTTAAATTGTTTCCTTTCCCAGCTCAAGTTGGAAGACTTTGGTGGGAAATGGTGGGGAAAGTTTCTCTTCTCTCTCCCCTCTCTTCTTTCCGGGGTTTCTAATCTTTCCGGGGTTGGGGAGGGGAAGGGGAAGGAAAGGGAAGAAAGGACACAAAAGAGATAGGAGGGATTGTGACATACTGTCTTCAGCTGGCTTGAGGTCTCTGGTCTGGTGGAAGTTTCAGTCTGATTCATTCTCTGGGCTCCTGGATGGTACCCTGTCGGGCACTCAGATGGCAATCCCCCTGAGCTATGCATAGTGTGCTTCTGCAGACCCCTCCTGAACCTCCACAACTGCTTTTCTTTGTTCATCCACCCCCCTCTGACTCTACCCAGGCCACATTGCCCTCCAAGGGTGCCCTTTCAATGGCTCCAGGCTAGTTCTCTGCATGTCTAGAGGACCACAGAGTTCTGATTGCCTGGCTTAACTCCAAGCCTTGTCTATTTTTTATGCATAATTATCAATAGCAAACATGCTCATTTTCAAACACATCTCTCTTTGGACAATAAATGCCAAATGTCACAGTCAGCTCAGGACTTACCCATTTCTGGTGCACAGGACATGAAGCCTCCTTCCTCCAGTGCCTTCTGAGAGCCCAGGTCCCTTCTAGGATTAGAAGCACCTCCCAGCTCTTTATCCAACAGGAAACCAGTCCTTTCTGAGCCTCACACATCCTAAGCAGGACTCAGATCCCAGACCACAGTGCCCATGAGTTTCAAGATTGCCTTTAAACACAAAGATGTCTCTTCACCAAGCTCTGTCCAAAGAAATTTTTTCTTGCTCACTTCTCTTGACACTTCTTTGTTCTAGAAAAGGGTGAGATCCTTTAAGCATTAAAGAACCACTTTTCAAAGATTTTGTTTGAAAATCTGCCTTTTGATTTTGTACCTGATTTTGGAATTCTTGATGCTTAAAAAAAAACTTAGATGTTAATACCTTGCCTCACATGGTTTTGTAGCATGAAAGGATAATTAAAGCACCAGCATTAAAACTCAATCCTTAGCAAGGTGTTGTCTATGATCTCCTTAATCTTCACAACAAGATCATCTAGGATTGTCTGCTGAGGTCAGCAGCGGAACCCAATGGAATCAACCCTGCAGGCAAGAAGGAACACGTGTGGCTTCTCCAGTATGCCGGATTCATGATAAGGACTGGACAGCGTCTTACCTATCTGTGTGTTGTTTTCTCTTTCATTAAATTTTTGGTCTAATTCAGTGACTTTCAACACTTTGAGAGGCATAGTTATTACTTAAAAGGATTATATACACAAATACATGCATACTCTATAATTTACAGTTGATTTAAAGGAATTTCAAGAGGAATTTTGACCTCAAATAATTTTCCTCATATAAACTAAATGTGGAAATGAGATATGTATTTAACATATAATTACATTTTGCCAGATGTACGAAATCTTCTGTGAAAATATTCTAAAATAGGCCGGGCGCGGTGGCTCAAGCCTGTAATCCCAGCACTTTGGGAGGCCGAGACGGGCGGATCACAAGGTCAGGAGATTGAGACCATCCTGGCGAACCCGGTGAAACCCCGTCTCTACTAAAAAATACAAAAAAAAAACTAGCTGGGCGAGGTGGCGGCGCCTGTAGTCCCAGCTACTTGGGAGGCTGAGGCAGGAGAATGGCGTGAACCCGGGAGACGGAGCTTGCAGTGAGCTGAGATCCGGCCACTGCACTCCAGCCTGGGTGACAGAGCGAGACTCCGTCTCAACAAAAAAAAAAAAAAAAAGAAAATATTCTAAAATAAATGAAATGCCATCCCTTCATTTGTACTAAAATGTATTTTAGTCTGATGAGAGTGAAGATTATACAGACTGCTGATTCAAAGGACTATGATTTTTATAATTATAATTTTAAAAGCAAATATCTATCAAGCTATGATAATACATCAATTTTCTAACTTATTTGTCTATATGAGCTCACTTTTTAATAACTAGTTTTTGCTTTATTCTACAGTTTGCAGACAACTCCAAACTCCACACTTGGGTTTTCTCTTCTGCCTTTGTTATTCTTTAAATATCTACATTAACAGAGGCTATTTCTCCCCAAAGATACCATTTTTCCCAATAGCACATGCAGGTGCACCCTCACCTGGCACACACAGGCCCTCCTGGCCCTCCAGCACTGGTACCTGGGCTCTACCATTTGACTGCACCCATGTCTGTCTGTGCTGGGGCTCTGTCCTGGTCTTGTCACCCCTGAGGTGTCCTTAGGACACAGGGATGCCAAAGAGCCCCATGTGATCTGTCAACTCTGAGTAAACTCAAGAGGCTCCTTGGGGTTCTGAGCTGAGGGCCAAGGCAGCCCATGTCTGAGCTTCATTACAAAGAAAAGTGGCAATCAATGGGCAATGGCCATTAGTAGTTTTTGGAAGGTGGATCTAGGGGGACAAACCCGGAAAGGGATGAGGCACATGGTCCATCCCTGCCTTAGATGGCTGCTTTTCTATCAGGCTGCACTGTCTCACTGGCCAGGTGGCCGAGGACGCCGTTGGAGGACCACAAAGCTGCAAGTGGCTTTCCTGGGTCCTGCAGGGAACAACTGGAGGATGCTTGGAAGGGAGCCCACATTGGGTCTCACAGGAGTCTGCACACTGCAGGTCATGCTGGCATTAGCCCCTCATCCTCTGCAGTTCATCTCATCCCGGTGAAGACAGCTGGCTGGCCTCAGAGGGTGAGACACAGCTCGAGGGTAAAAACGTTTTTACAAGACATGGACGCAAAAGTGGCCCTTACTTCTGGATAAGCTTTGAAAACTTCCCATTTACACGAAAAGGTGTACTTTCTGTGTGCCACCAAGAAACTTACACTGAGTAAGAGGACTGTTTCACTTTCATCAAGTTCCAGAATGAGGGTGCCCAGCTCTGAAAAGCACTGTCGCAGGAGGAGATTCGAGGGTGCATGCAAAGCAATGTTTCTAGAAAATACCAAAGGAAACAGACATAACTCCAATATGGACTCCCACTTCCCAAAGCTGCTGCTCCATCCCCAGGGCAGAGGCCACATCGTCCAGCTGGCTGCCGGAACCTCGTCATGCTCCTGGAGTGTGTGCAGCAGGTGCCAGCTGGAGTCTTCCACGCTCTGCCTGGAGGTTTTGGATGCTTTCTTCAGGATCCTCTCCATTTGTTCTGCGGATTCTTGAAGGCCACCTGGGCTGGAGTCCACTTGTCCTGGCCACACTGCTTCTGCTCCTTAATCTTTTTGCTCATTCCATCACTTCCTTGAGTTTCACCTTGTCTTGGTCTTTCTTTTTCTTCTTCTGCTTGGTGATGCTGAGCTCTGTGATGCTTTTAAGCTTCAAGGGTCCTTTTTGGGTCTGCTCGTGGGCCACCATGACATCGGCCTGCAGTTCTGTGGGTAGACTATGTATTAACTCACTTAATCCTCCTAACAACATTATGGGGTAAGTGCTATTATGCTCTCTATTTGTATAGGTGAGAAAACAGTACTACAGAAAGTGAGCACCTTGCCCAAAGTTATGCAGAAAGTGAAAAAACAAGAATTCTAACCCAGACATGTAATTTCTGTAAGCAAATGCAGCTAATAGAGATACCAACCAGGTGTTCAAAGGGTTATAGTTACTTCTGGAAATGAGGGGAGGCTGTGTAATAGCTAAGAGGTGAACCTGGTTCTCCAGGGTAGAGACAAGAGGCAACAAGAGAAGGGATTCTGCAAAGAAACCAGCAATAGGTGGGGAACACGGGGATGGAGAGCAGCCACGAGTTTACCTAGGTTGAATTTGGAAAATCTGTGCATAGAAAGATGCAAGCCCCACTGGGCTCGGTGGCTCTCACCTGTAATCCCAGCACTTTGGGAGGCCGAGGCAGGCGGATCACATGAGCCCAGGAGTTTGAGACCAGCCTGGGCAACATGGTGAGAACCCATATCTACAAAAGCTACAAAAATTAGCTGGGCATGGTGGCATGCACCTATGGTTCCATCTACTTGGGAGGCTGAGGTGGAAGAATTGCTTGAACCCAGGAGGTGGAGGTTGCAGAGGGCCATGATCATGCCACCGTACTCTAGCCTGAGCAATAGAGTGAGACCCTGTCTCAAGAGAAAGGGAGAAAGAGAAAGAGGAAAGAAGAAAGAAAGAAAGAAAGAGAGAGAGAGAGGGAGGGAGGGAGGGAAGGAGGGAAGGAAGGAAGGAAGGAAGGAGAAAGAAGGAAAAAAGAAAGGAAGGAAGGAAAGAAAGAAAAGAAAGAGAAAGAGGAAAGAAGAAAGAGAAAGAAGAAACAAAGAAAAGAAAGAAAGAAAGAAGGAAAGAAAGGTGGAAGGGAAGGAGGGAAGGAAGGAAGGAGAAAGAAGGAAAAAAGAAGGAAGGAAAGAAGGAAAGAAAGAAAGAAAGAAAGAAAGAAAGAAAGAAAGAAAGAAAGAAAGAAAGAAAGAAAGAAAGAAAGAGAAAGAGAATCACGCAGCTCCTTTATTCTCCAGACATTCAGTGAGCACTTAGTGTGTCATATGCAGGAGTTTAGGTTGAGGGTCCTGGGCAATGACACAGACAAGACAGAGTCTCCTCCTTCATTGAACTTATATGAGTAGGGCAGACAACAAACAAATCATCCAGATCGTTTCAGATAGCGATGAGTGTTTGGAGAGCACTATGCAGAATGATCTGAGGTTGCAACGGGCATTGCAATGCCTGCTGGGCTCCTTACCCCTCAGGACCTTTCCACCAGCTGCTCTCGAAGGCTGAAAAACCTTTGCCCTGTTGCTGCAGGGCCAGATTCTTTTCATGCAGCATTCCTTTAGTTAAACTGTCACCTTGTCAAAGAAGTCTGATGCCGACTAAAAGTTCTCTGTTACTGGATGTGCAGAGAGAAACCCATTGTGGCTGTAGGGATGGACAAAGGAGAAGGGCACAAAGTGGACAGCAGAAGCAGGAGCTGTCACACAGGCCCGGCCCGTCGTGGTGGAGAGTTTCGATTTCATTCTAAGCAAAACGGGAAGTCATGTTGCTTTTAAGCACAGGAACAACATGATTTAATTTATGCTTTAAATTAACCACTTTGCCTGCCCAGTTTCTCAACTAGATAGTCAGATAGATATATAGATATATAGGTTGGTAGGTAGGCAGATAGATAGATAGACAGAAAGACAGACAGATAGATGATATGTAGGTAGATAGGTAAATAGAGAGATGAATAGGTAGGAAGGCAGATAGATAGATACATGCATACATAGACAGGTATATAGGTAGGCAGGTAGAGAGATGTATAGGTAGATAGATGTATAGGTAGGTATGTAGGTAGGTAGGTAGGTAGATAGATGTATAGGTAGGCAGATAGATAGATAGATAGATAGATAGATAGATAGATAGATAGATAGATAGACAGACAGATAGATAGATAGATAATTTATGGATATAGATACCTATCTGTCTCTCTCTAGCTAGAGATAAAATAGACAAGTGGCGTGATGCATCAGTAGCATTGAAAGACACCTCGAATGTGGCCTTACTTCGAGGTGATGGAATTTCTTTTTAAGCTCAGCTTCTACTTCCCTTCTGAGGAAGTTCATACTAGGGAGCTGCTACAACAGATGCGACTTTAAACTCTAATATCCCAATAATGCAAACACACTGATCAACTCAGCAGGATTTAAGGTGAGATCTCTCCTCAAGAAGAATTATAAGAAACATTTTAAATTCTTTAGCCATCAATTTCACTGCCAGTCAAACCCCCTCCTCAGAGGTGGAAAAAATGCCCAGCAGGTAATTTTTGAAGTGGTGAAACTGCACTATTTCTATATTTACGAGCAAATCACATTTGAAAGCATGTTTTTTTTTTTTTGGCTCCAAAATCCTTTTTTGGCTCTGTCCACCACTGAGGCCATAACAGGATTTATAATGTGGAGAACCGAAAAACTTACATAGATGGAGAAATACAGATTTAGATACAGATGTAAAATATATAAAGTAGATATATCTGTAGAATACACAAACACAAATAGGAATGAAGGTATAAATATAGAAAAGGTATGAATGTAGATATAGAAGACAGATACAGGAGAGATAGGCAGGTAAATCGATTGATAGATGACAGATAGAAGATAGATAGATAGATAGATAGATAGATAGATAGATAGATAGATAGATAGATATGAATGCATAGAAGAGACATAAATGTAGATATAGAATGGATGTTATTTTTGTGCTTACGAGCCCAGCCATTCACCTGCCCCTTTATCTGCCCCCAAAAGAGCTATACTGGGGAGTATACAAATATTATAAATAAAGCAGATAAAAGTAGAAAGATGTTAAAGTCTCAGAGACAATCACCAACTGCTGAAAGATTCTCAATGGAAAAAAAAAATCTTAAAACAAAAAGCTGTGTTTTGCATTAAATTAACTGGTTTAATTAGCCTGAAAGATTTACAAACCTCACCCACCTGTCTTAGAAAGAATACTCCATAGAGATATTTGGTTACTACCTGGTTCCAACTCATTTTCCTGGGTCAGAAATTGATTTCTAATTTTAAGAATTGGCTTCTCTATTGCAAGGTCCATGTCACATTAATTAATGCTGCGACTTGTAGAGATTTCTTCTCCATGGCACGTCAGCCATTTGGACTCTTTTTTTCGGAGAGGAGTCTGCAAACCAAGAAAGAGATGCGTAAGTGTTCCTGGCATTTTACACCAATTATTTGCAAACATTTTGTTGTTTGTGTTCTGGGTGTGTTGTTATCTGCTTGCATAGTTTAAAAAGTATTAGTAGAAAGCATATGTATTTCTAACAAGGACCCAAATGTCAAGCCTTGAGGTACATGTGTACAAAATTGTGTATTTTTAAGGCACTATCGTACTTATTAAGTATAGATCTGTGGCTTGCTGGAAAAAAAAGTTCATAGATATCCAGTTCTCTGAATTGTCCTCATAGGAGTGTCCACTGGATGAGTACAGAATGTTCTAAAGTATAGAAATTAGACGACAAAACTTGATAGAGAACCTCAGATTAAGAGAATACTCAGAAAATGCAAAGGAGAAGAAAGTGCTATTAGAAGTGATACGAGGCAGGCTTTAAAGGGAAATTTTTCCGGAAGAAAATCCATGCTGTGGAAGTCAGAGGGTGTAACTGAAGACGAAATAGTCATTTGGAGAAAATCAGAATTAGAGAATGCTATTATTTGTTTAGACAGTATTTATCTATTTATTTTTTCTATAGATTTGATTGAATTAAGAAGATAAATATTGATTTTTTTACATGCATTCTGTCAGTGTAGACACTGACGCTTAAAGAGACAAGGTCTTGCTTAAAGTCACACAGATAGTAAGAGGCAGAGAAGAAATCTCACCTTGATTTGTTTGATCTCCATGCCTAGGTCTCATCCGCTGAGCAGTACCTCCTCCCGATTCAGCACATCCCTGGTGCCAACTTTTTACATGTGTTCACTTTGAGGATGCATTGTGGGCCTGCAAGAAATGTAAAGGTGTAGTGTCTGCTTTTCAGCATCTTACAGTCAGGTTTGGGGTCAAAAGCCCAGGAAGGTACAGACCCTGAAAACAGGTATCAAATAATGCCAAAGTGAGATTCCAAAGCAGGGTTTTTATGAACACACCATAGAATGTCTTAATATTCAGGGCTTTAGGAAATGAATCATATGCATAAACATCTTAGTCTAAAATAAACTCCTTTTCAGACCCAAGAATAAAGACTTTGCTATTTCTGTCAATAGAAATTAATCCATATCTGTCTGAGAATTCAGAAGCTGGTGAAGCATTGAATTTGCAATAATAGGGAGCTCTTATAAATCACCAACTGTCATTAATCACCACTAATTCTTTGCTATTTATATTTTTATTTCAAAGGGTGAATGCATTTTAAAGTAGTATAATGCATTTTATTCTATATCTAGAATATGATTTTTATGCTTCCCTTAAGATATCTTTACTTTTCACATTAACTGTATAAAACTGATAGCTCATCAGATCTAGTAAATTATTTTATGTATAATTTTATACATAAAATGTATAATTATTTTATGTATTTTGTGTATAAAATGGTATCTAATAGGTGTTTCATCCATGTCTGTTGAAGAAATTTATTCAACAAAGTTTTCTTGTTCACCCTCTACGTACTAGGCACTCTTATACATGTTGGAGATACGGCAAAAAATAAATAACAAAGTTCCTGAGAGTTGATAATATGGTGGAAGGGGCTATAAACAATGAATTATCAGGTTGTGATGACTGTGCCAATGTATATAAAACAAGGCAAGGACAATAGAGAGTGAGGGCAGTGCTTGCACTTGATTTGGTTTACACACGGAACGCCTGTCTCCCAGGTGATGTTTGCACACCTGAAGAACATGAGTGAGGAAGGCGTGGGTCATCTGGGGAAAGTAACTTTCTGCAGAGGGAATAGCAAGTGAAAAAGTCCTAAGGAAGGAGGATGCTTAGTGTGCTTGAGGAGCAGAAAAGAGGCCAGCAAAGGAAGAAAGAGGGAAGGAAGAATGAAGGAGACGCCGATTGCAACCTTGTACATTTGTATAGAATGCTATGGTCGGTTTGCTCCTGAAGCCTCTCTTCAGGAATGAGGAGGGGGAGTGATGGCACATCTGAAAAACCTTTCCTGCATCCCTTGGGATGTCTTTACCCCTTCTGGCTTTTGAATTATATCACTTAGGACACATTGATTGCAAGACATGGCACACCTAACAAACAGGTTAATGATAGTTATGGTTACTGGGTACTTAAGAGTAAATGCAAAGTCAGGTCAATGCAAGTTGCGTCCACAGATCTCTGGCGTCATCAGGAAACCAGACTTTCCTTTTCAGTCGGGGTATTTTGGGATCCTGGCTTTCTATTCATTCTTGTCTCTTCAGGGCCAAAGGTGGCTGCCGAAATTCCAGATATCATGTCCACACCTGAAAACTTCCAATCTATAGTGAGAGCAGCACAAAAATATTTTCGTTGTGCAGTTCTCTCTCTCTCTCTCTCTCTTTTTTTCTGGACATGGTCTCGCTCTCCTACCCAGGATGGAGTGTGCAATGATGCAAGCATAGCTCATGGCAACCTCAAACTCCAGGGCTCAAGCAATCTTCCTGCCTTAGTTTCCCAAGTAGCTGGGACCACAGGCATGCACCACCGTGCCCACTTAACTGTTTTGGTGTTTCTTCTGTAGAGACAGGGGCCTCACTATGTTGCCCAGGATGGTATCAAACTCCTGAGCTCAAGCGATCCTTCTGCCTCCGGCTCCCGAAGTGCTGGGGTTACAGACAGGAGCCACCATGACCAGTCATCTCTCTCTTTTTAAAGAGAGACAACTGTTTCCCAGAAGTATCTGGCAGACCTTCTTTTATTCTTTTATTACTTTTTGGCAAGTCAGCCAAGATAAAAATGGCAAATAAAATGGTATTCCACTGATCAGTTTATTGCAGTTATAATTTATTGCGTTAACCCATAATTCAGGCCCTTACATTGTGTCTAGTACTTTTCGAATCACTTTATATGTCATGTTATTTATTTCACACTATGGCACTATTAGGTAGGAGCTATTATTATCCCAATTTTGCAGGTGACAAAACTGAAACACAAAGAGTTTAAATAGCTTACTCATAACAGAAGAAAATAGATAAAACTCAGGACGTCTGTCTCCAGATGAGGGTGCCACAGAGGGTATCAACTCCCTTTAGGAACAGAGTTCAGTGATCAATGGGCTAGAAGCATCTACATTCATTTCATAGAGGCCACATTTCCAAGAAAAAGTAACATATAAGGCAATATGTTAGCCCAAATAATCAGTAGAAAAGGAGAAAACAT